GCATGAGTGGTGAAAAGGATTGGTGGACACACACACATTCAAGCATTTTCTGCCCATGCAGGTACACTATTTCTCATACTCACACACCCACACTGTATAAAACCAAAGACGCATTCAAATACACACAAAACAAATGCATGCATACACACATTCCACCGCTCCCAGTAGCGCACCATGCTTGTTACTGAGCCTCAGGAGACTCACTAAATCACACAGAGGCCCCAGCAGAAATGAGGGATAACAGCACAATGGCACTACAACCACTGACTGCCGAATATCTTTTTATAAACGCAACAGAGTAAGAAGTGCTGGGGGGAGGGAAACCTCAACAGGGACCAGGGAGGAGGGGATGCTTGCTTTACATACAGCCAATGGGTGGGGAAATCTGTTGTTGTAGTTGCAATCGAATTCTGCTAAAATGATCAAAGGTGTTTTTTCAGCCCAACATCTATAATGAAGAGACAGAAATAAATACAATGAAGAACACAAACTGAGAAATTCTGGATCATCTTTGGCTTCCTGTGGCTCCTGAGGCCTCCAAGTCTGTGTAAGCATGAGGATGTTGTTTATCACTACAAGTTTGGAATACCTTGAAAGCTGTTTTCTTTCATTCCCACATGAGCTCTCCAGCTGTGCTCACAGTCTCCAAAACACCTCCTTTAGATGACTTCTAAAATACATTTTTGTCATCTGAAATAATAAAATAAATCCAAACCTTAAACACTAAGGGAAGGTAAAGTATGAGGTCTATCACAGAACTGTTTTAAATCAAGTAATGAAATCATTTGGCGAAAGTGATTTCAGTGTTTGTGTATTGCTGTACTTGAACTTAAAATGTTTTATCCTTTAATGTTGTTTGCATTATTATTAGTAGCCTAAGCAGCAATTAATATGCTATTAACAAGAGCAAGCTAGTAGAATAATATAAGACTATCAAACACACTTCTGAAGTATGCAAAATATGATTTGTTTATCGTAAATAGGTACAACTCCAGAAAATATTCTGAATTTTTTTTTGTCAGTATTGCACACCCCTAATTGAAGGGACCCTTAAATGAGTTTTTTAAATTATCTAGTTAAGCAGAAGTTATTTTTGCATAAACATTCATTCACTTTGCAGCTTGTAAAGAAAGAAAAGGCAGACAAGTAGGAAGGAAGATTTAAAAAAACCTCTTTAAGGTTTTTTAAAAATTTCAAAAGACAGCTGTCTAAGTAGCCTTCTTTTTGATTCACATGCCATTTTAAACAGAATTCTATGATGTGTGATATTAAAACACAGCTGCACTAGTAATTCAGGTATTGCAAAACCTACTGAACCTCATTCATTTGCCCCTAACCTGTCTGCTACACATGTAGACTCTAATGTCAGACAGAAACCACAGAATGCCCTCTACAGTGTCACATTCTACCCTGAAAACTGTGTGGAAGGAGGGGAATGGTGTGGTGATGAAGGAGAACCAAGAGAGGACCCTTCAAGTCTCCAGTATTCCATTAGCCAGTCTGTGATCTACTGCTCTACTACCTAAATTCTTACACACACACATACACACACACACACACAGATGGAAGGCCAGCTTCCCAGTCTTCTCCTGACACCATCCCCCATCCCACTGCCTCTCCTTTTCATCCTCCTCCTTCTCCTTCACACACCTCACACCCTCCGTCAGTCACCACCCATCACACAAGACCTCCACAGATGGGCCTGCGAAGAACACACATACACACATTCATCCAGTCCATATTCAGTCCCACTGCCACACACACATACATATACAGTATATTCACAAAGGTTCCAGACTCACTTTCTCACTCCTCACACGGCTGGCCAGACATAACACACACTCAGCACAGCTCTCAGCTTAACATCATCTCTCTTTTTTACTCACTCACACACACACACAACCCCACTAACTCTTTCATGTGAGGCTCTAAGGAGCTCAGAAACCAAAAACCTCCGTAGCTGAGGGGAACCCAATTAGGATACAATTAGTGCCATCAGATCTACCTGAGAGATGGCGCTTCGCACTTGTGCTGGCAAAACAAAGCGAACATACAGGATTGGGCGGTGGTGGTGGAGGTGGGGCGCCGAGGAGATTTGTGAAGAAAAACTAAAGCTCGCCCACTTCCCGGTGTCTTTAAAGGCTGCCACTAATTTCCCTGCATTTTTGATCAGTGAGGAAAAACTGAAATGCTAATGAGCCTCACTCCTTTAAAAGAAACACTGACATGCTAGATGAGTCTAATTAAAGAAAACGGAGGAAAGACTGAAATATAACCTCTGAAAAGTTGGTTCCATCAATCATGTGGCATTTTTCTAGACTAATCAACAGGTTAGTCACCAAAGAGCTTACCTTTAAATCTCCAGCCACACACTAAAGAACAATTCTATTCAACAAGATAATCCACTCTGAATCCAACTGTTAATCTTGTTATTGTGGTTGATGGTCCATCCAGCATTCTGACATCACATATCCAAATCTGCCTGCAACCAGGAGGAAAAAATCCAACTGCACATTTTTAACCCTTTTCTCCTGGAGGCAAACTCCTGTAGCTTGAGGAAAGCCTGCTCTAGAGTAGTAGTACAATGAGGTGGGATGGATGGAGGCAGGAGGAGGAGAGGGATGCAAGTGGCTCACATCACTTCGGCATCTCTTAGTGAGGGAATTGAGCCACGAGAAGGCAAGCAGTGGTGAATGAGTCAAGGATGCAAGTCCCCTCCCCTCACACTGCTATGTATCTCTCCCTCTCCTGCACACACGCACTCATGCACACACTCCTACCCCCCACCCTGCTACAGACTGCATTGCACTGATGAAATTTTAATGGTTCTTTTAGGAAGAATAATGAACATGCTTGTCCCTAGAGTTGTGTGTGTGTGTGTGTGTGTGTGTGTGTGTGTGTGTGTGTGTGATTATACAAACGTGTATGTGTGTGTAAAGTGTAAGGGTGTGCTTTTCTTCTCTAGATCTTGTTTTGTCTTTTACATGCACCTGAGCATACTCCCACTCACACACTGCAGTCCTGCACAGATTCACTTGTACACTTCCCCCCTCTTCATTTGCACAGCACATGCAGAATCACACACAGACATGCATACGCCATGCAGGCTTACACTCAGCAACATCAAACACTGCTACTGACAGACACACACTTTCTCCTCCCGTTGCACAGGAGAGATGGTGTGGGAGAGCAGACAGAGAGCAACCCATCCTCGAAAATGCGCTGCTGATGCACCCCCCACCACACACACATGCACACACCACACAGAGGAGCACACATGTGCACAAATAAGCACACACACATCAATGAAGTGGAACAAAGTGTAGAGGCAGCATGTGGAGGCACCAGTAGGAACATTATGATGGGGAGGAGAAGACTAAAGTGTGCCAGAAAACACACTTCAGATACTTCAGGTACATGTCTTCAGATACTTTAAGTGTACTGCAGTACTGTGTCGTTTAGAGTAAAATGAATAATAAAGGTAATCTATAAAAACCAAAACATTTAACTATAAGTAATTACAATTCCATATATGCATTGTCAATTAAAACTAATTATGGTTTTATACTTTGGTAAGAAACACTGAAATTCAAAATTAATCAAACATAAAGAACGTGCCTAATTCAGTTCTTGCCAACTTCATCTTATATTCCCAGTTAGTTTAATTACTATACATATCGCCACAGATGACCATAAACTCTGTTCACGACAGCAAAAATCCTAAGGTTGAAAAGCCTCAAAATTTTACATTTTTAACTTGCCAAAACAGAAAATATACACTACTGTAAGTCTGCTTTAACACCTTTTTACAATAATGTTCAGTAAACAAATCTGTAATGTTGTCAATCAAGCACTTAAATGGCAAGTAATGATAATCAGCTGGTGCTGTCCCAAATCGAGATTAAGCCATGCATGACACTGCCCAGGGCAAAACAGGGGGGAAAGCCCTAAATATTTGATCAGGGTCATACTGGTGGGTTTGCAATGCTATGATTTTGTTAAGTCATTAGAGTCTATTTTAATAACCATCTGTTTTGAAGTATTATAAAAATTTCAGATGTCTCCTGTTGCTCTCTATTGTCTAACATTAAAGCCCCTAAAAACAATAACATTAAATATTCATGACTAAATAAGCAGCAATCAAAATGCAGAACAGTACTTCAATACTCCAAAAACTCAGCTTCTTCTGCGGATATGTGGGCGTGGTTTGGGAAGATTTGATTGACAGTACCCTGGCAACCAGAAACTAACCAACCAACCGTCATCAGATTTTGAATTAAATGTTACTAAATTTTTACTGATCTTCACTTTCCAACTGAAGCAAGAGGAAGCTAAACTGACCTTCCCTAGTTTCTCATTAAAGCGCCCACCAATCCCAGCTCCTCTAGGAGTGATGGGTTCTTGAATAGTCAGCAAAGCATGCATACTGAATTGTAGTCCCTAATGGCTTTTATGATAACATGTTCATAATATGTCTGTGTACTAAAGGATAGTAAAACACTCAACCATCATTGGAATGCTCCATAATATACCATTAAAAATATTGATTAGTATGTTCTGTTTGACAATTCATATACAATACATTCAAACAGCACCAGCAAAGGCAACATAGTTTGCACTGTGTTAACATCTCCATATATCAAAATGAAGAATTAAACCAGCAGTTTGACAATGAGCTGAGATGGCTGGCACATTTTCTGCGGTTTGCAGTGGCTGATTTTAGACAGCAGGATTCTACAAAAACTGTCTTTAGGTCTGAAAATACTTTTGAGTTCAAATGTTACTCTGATGTTATTTATCAGCTGACACAGGAAGGGATGATTTCAAGATTTTAAATTCAAGACATACAAGGCCACATCTGGAATCTTAATCTGACCGGCAACAGATATGGGCCTGAGAACATGTAGCACAACAGGAAAATGAGTCGAGTTATGACACAGATTCAAGTTGAGGCAGCTGTTAGACAATCAAATAATGGGTAAAAGGGAGGCTGAACTTACATAAGACTAGGATTCCACCTCAGTATTCGACCTTAACCCAAAGACCAGCATTGATAGTAGCAGTCAGAAGTGCTAAAAAGAGAAGAGAAAAATAGATCTGTTACAATTTAACCTAGGTACGAACTCAAAAACACAAATGTGACAATCATTCCATTCACAGTTCTGTTTTTGTCTTCAAATGTCAGTTTTTGCAGATTTTTGTGCTTGTGTCATTTTGGATGGACTGAAAAGACAGCAGCTACCATGTGGTTTCATTTCCTCATACATACATGGGCAGCTTAAGATGTTATAGACTGCAGATCCTGCAAGTGATTTGTTTGACCACATCCACTTTCCCGCCATCTGTCACCTCCTGCAGTCTACAGTAGTCCCCCCCCTCAAAAAAAAAGGCCCAGTGGAAGTGTGAAATGGTATGACCAAAGGTTTATCTGAAGCACCAGGATATTTTAGCAACTTTATGCTCAAAGTAGTTTTAATGTTTCCAAGTTTTCTGAAAAAGAAAAAAAAACTTTCTGTAAAAAGGCAATAAACTCTGAGTGAATGTGGAAATTGTCCTCACCCTCAAATTCCCTTCCAAGGTGCTCCTAACTCTGCCCAGTTCCTAAAAATCAATTACCACCCAAAAGCAGTGGTGAAAAAGGAGAATCATAATTTAAATCTTCAGTTCTGTGGCCACTTTAAAAGGCATTTTAGAGTCAAGCAAGGGTTTGATGGGAATAATTATCATATGTGACATGCGAGTCATCCTCTATCCTGGTATACAAAAACAACAGCTTACAAGGTTAAAGCTGTGTGGAGAGTAGATACACTTCACTTCTGTTGGAATATCTATGATATTTAAAAAAGAAACAACACATCTTGCATATGTTAGAGTAGCAACACTAAGAGTTAAAGGCAAGTTAAATGGCGGCTTAACGAGAACATTCATTATGTGCTGTCTGATATGCAAGCACATGTATCCCTCCTGGGATACAAAAACAAAAACAGAAGCTTAAAAAATGAAGGCTGGCTGTGTGAAGAGTAAAAAATGTGCCAAATTCAGGTCAGATAATGATTCTAAACAACAGGTAATACTGCCCTCAGTAGGTGTTTTGCTCACATATCAAGCAGTGAATTCAGTGATTAAGTTGTCACACCGAGAAGAGAGTCAAATATGAGAAAATGTTGCAGTAAATCTGGAAATTTCTAATGATAAAGAAGTTGTTCTTTGGTAGTCAAAAATAAAGAAACAACGCACTATGTGATAAATGGACTTACACTTTCTACACATTCTGTAAACTCAAAGCGCTTAATGCTATATTTGCCTATTCACATACACACGCTCACACCTGCTGGTACCAAGCCACCATACAACCACTTACACCGTGTACACACACACACACACACACACACACACATGCACAGGATAGCCACCGGAGCACTGTGGGGGCCAGTGTCTTGCCCAAGGACACTTAAACATGTGGACTAGAATCAAACTTCTAACCCTTTGGTTAGGGGATAACCTGTTCTTCCTCCACAGAATGGAAAATATTACTTTCTCAGCATAGTGAAATAAATACCTGCATGTGGGACGCTGGCAGCCAGCGACATTAGCAGCAGAATGCTTTCTCACTCTCTGGCTGCCCAGGTGTGCAGTTTATATTTTTAGTACCACATTTATGAGGGATTGTAATGGGTGCGTGCAGCTCAAAACAAACAAAGGTGATTAAATGTAAAAGGATCAACAACTCTGTTATACATGTACCATGCCTGTATATACATGCACACACACACACACACACACACAGTGTATATATATATATATATATATATATATATATATATATACACAGTATACTGCCATCACTACAATATACATGTTTTGCATACTTCTTTAT